CTGGACTTCTGGCAGTTCTCTGCTGATGTGCTGTTCCAGTCGTTTTTGGATAATCTTCAGTAAAATCTTGCTTGCATGTGAAATCCGTGGGATTGTTCTATAGTTTCCACACTCTGTTGGGTCACCTTTCTTTGGGATAGGAACAAATATAGATCTCTTTCAGTTAAATGGCCAAGTGGTTGTTCTCCAGAGTTCTTGGCACAACTTGGTGAGCACATCCAGGGCAGCATCTGTTAGCTGAAATATGTCAGTTGGTATATCATCTATTCCTGGGGCCTTATTTTTTGCCATTTCTTTCAGGGCAGCTTGAACTTCTTCTTCACCATAGGCGCTTGCTCATATGTTGTTTTATGAAATTCTTCTGTGTCTGCCAATTCCTTTTGATGCAGTGACTCAGTATATTCTTTCCATCTTCTTTTAATACTTCCTGGATCATTTAACATTCTGCTGAAAGCATCCTTGATTATAGCAACTCGAGGTTTGAATTTGTTCTTCAGTTCCTTGAGCTTAAGAAATTATGAGCGTGTCGGCCCTTTTGATTTTCTGACTCCAACTCCTTGCTCATTTCATTGTAATATTTTGGTTTGTCATCCCGTGCTGCCTTTTGAAATCTTCTATTCAACTCTTTAGTATCTTGAATTCTTCCTTGTGCTTTGGCTTCCCTGTGCTCCAGTGCAATTATCAGAGTCTCTTCTGACATCCATTTTGGTCTTCGTGCCATCTTCTGTCTTTGCAATGACCGTTTGCACTCTTCCTGGATGATACCCTTGATATCCTCCCACAACTCATCTGGCCTTTTTATTCATCAGTGTTCAAGGCCTCAAACCTGTTCCTGAGATGGTTCTGAAATTCAGGTGGGATAGACTCAAAGTCATATTTTGGTTTCCTTGGATTTGGTTTGATTTTCCTCAACTTTAGCTTGAAGTTGCGTATGAGTAGTTGGTGGTCTGTTCCACAATCAGCTCCTGGCATAATTTTCACAGCTGATATTGAGCTTCTCCAGCAGTTCTTTCCACAGATGTAATTGATCTGATTCCTACATAAGAACAGCAAATATATGCACACAAGCATAGATGGGTAGGTGGATGGATAGATAGAAAAACAGAGAGGGGGAGAGAGAGGAAAGAAGGAAGGAAGGAAGGAAGGAAGGAAGGAAGGAAGGAAGGAAGGAAGGAAGGAAGGAAGGAAGGAAGGAAGCTAGTAAGGAAGGAAGCTAGTTGTGGCTGACATTGAGAAGAATGGGAATCCCAGAGCACTTAATTGTGCTCATGCAAAACCAATACCTGGATCAGGAGACTGTTGTGCAAACAGAACAAGGGAGCACTGAATGGTTTAAAATTAAGAAGGGAGTGTGTCAAGTTATAGTCTCTCTCCATACTTATTCAATCTGTATGTTGTCAAGTTGCTAGCAATTCATAGCGATCCTATGTA